TCCCTTTTTATATTTTTCATTTTATTGAATATTTAACAACCGTAAGGTAGAGTCGTTCGGTGGTTTTGATGATTTATATGGCAGTGTTTGTGGGGAAAAAGTCGGAGTTTAAGCCGATTCAGCTTTAAAAGTTATTAAAACTGTTGAAAGAAACTTACTTTTATCCCCATTCGCCACTCAATGTAATTCTTAAACAATTTCCTTGTGCTATTTTCTAGCATTTCTCGTTCGTAAAGGCAAGAGGATAGCAAAACTAATTTAGAAAATTGTTTTTAGCCTCTGTTATAGCTCCTCCACTGGCTTTGCCTTTGCCTTTGCCCAGGGCCCAGGGGCAAGTGAGAATTTCCTAGAGGGCCCTGAAATGAATCTAATAAAGAAATTACTCCAGACAGGATAGCCGCCGCCAAGGACGCGTTGCCTACGCTGAATAAAATCTCAACGATGTCGCCAATTGCTGAGGGGGAAGAGGAGGCCGTAATGAGCTGAATATAAAGTGCGTGGTGCCACACGGATCGGGGGAGTCCTAAATCGCTGTTTGCTCTTAGCCATAACATGAATAATTTAAAAAACAAAAGGCGAAACGATTTGCGACACACGACGCTTCTAATACACTTTGCCAATGCGATTGCGGATGTGTGAAAAGGATCCTTTGTATCCTGTGGCAAACAATGGGCCCAGTCGCTATTCAAGCATTCAATTCACCAATTTGCGCTTAATGTTTGACTATTCCTAAATGGCCAGAAAGACAATGTGTGTGTGAGCATTCCCCCAGGGACCAAAACAGGTAACTGAAGCGCACACGTGGCCCCCTCGTTGGCCCAATAAATAAGTCCTGATGGCTAAAATTGCCGATTCAACTTATTCGCATTTGTATTCGTATCCTCAAAGTACAGCGAAACAGTTGTCTGACTTATTCATGGGGACTTCTGCCGCCACCATTGTTTTTATTGGTTACCCATTAACTTTATGTTGTATCCGAGGCGACAGCAATTCACAATATCCTGAAGGGATGGAGGAAGGAGTGCTGCTACTTTCCAAGTGCTTAAAGGAATGACATTAAAGCGGGAGTTTCTTACTTGAAAATCTTCAGGAAAGGACAAAGAAGAAGAATTGTATGAATTATAAAATTGAAACTATAGTTTTTGAATATTATTTGAGGCTTAGAAATATGTTTACCATTATTTTATTATCTCTCAAGTCTGGAAATATCTTTTGACTGGAAATCTTTTAGAAATATCCCTACCAATTGATGTGATATATTTCCCCCTCCTCACAAGATACGTTTCAACTGAAAGCAGTAGTTTCCTTTGTGTTTTGCCTGGGCACCATTTAGGCCAACAATTAGCTGCATCCAACCAGCAGCAGCTGCAGTTACACGGCCACTTAAGCCAGTTCTGTGCGAAAAGCGTGTTAGATGGCTCAAAGTGGACCAAGTACACTCTGTTTTGTTCGAAACAGCATCCATCCCCATCTCCATCCCCATTCCCATCCCGAAAACCCTCTCCTTTTGTTTGTGTCGCTGGAACTTTAATTGCGAAAACATTTTCAAAAGTTTTTCATAAATTTCTCGCACTTAACCGAAAGTACATAACGCAAACAAAAGTAAAGTAAAAGTGTGTGCTACTTATACAGCTTATAATACTCGGTAGTAGTAGTAGTGGAAGTGAAGTGATTGTTGAGTATTTAAGGGTATATGGGTTTTGGGGGCAGAAGTTAAGGTAACCTTTTATGAGGATATTAAACTAATAGATGGTTGATTGGAATTAATTAATTGTAAAGAAGCACAATCTTTGAAGTTGGAAATTTTATACTAATGAAAAGTGATATTTTACACCTATTAAAACAAAACTCCTAAGGTTAATTTTTATAGATTTAAGAGCTCTTCTTTATATCCTCACAGCAGTCCCTTAAAAGTAGGCAACATAAAGTTGAGCAAGACCATTTACTCAACTCTTCTAGCTATCTAAATTAAAAGTATTTAATAATTATAGCAAATTGCTTTCCCGGGTACTCTATGGTCTTGACACTTTTTTCCCTTTTTCTTTCCCTCTTTTCGTGTGTGAGTGCAGTTGCAGTTGCAGCATCAAACTTCGTTGCAATGGCGGCTGCAATGCACATCAATAAAACGAAAATTGCTGCAGAATGGCGCACAATTGTCCTGGGAGCTGAAAGGCGTCGGAATCTGTGAGTGTGTGTGTGTGTGTGTGAGTTTTGGGGGTGGGTGGGCGTGGCAGGTTGCAATTGTTGTTACTGCTGCTGCTGCTGCAGTGAAAACAATCGAAATTATAGCAAACAAGCGCGTAAACTTTTCGCTTTCATGGTCGGATATATCTATATGTGTGTCAGTGAGAGTGTGTGTGTGTGTGTGTGTGTGTGTATGGTGTGTGTGTGTGAGTCTGGTTGTTTGTGTGGCGGCATTGCAGTTTTATTGCTCTGAAGGCAGACATTAAAATGCCTGACAAGAAGCACCGCGCCGCGCAACTGGCAACCTATTGCCATACAGACACACACACTCATGTCCATGCTCTGTAATCAGAAATGTTTGTACAAATGTGTGATAGTGATGCGAAATTCAAAATTTTAAGATTCTAGGATCTTTTTGGATAATTTTTATCACTTTAATTGGATTTAAATTAATTATATTTATTGATATAGAATTATGACACTTTCTATTGATAAATCAATCTTTCTAAAACTCATAACTTAGTCAAAAATGCATTAATTTTAATTCTGAAAGCTGTCCTGTGCTAGTTTTTAGTAGATTAATAAATCTGCATACTGAATTTACAATTTTTTAAAACTCAAATTTTTATCAATTTTTCACCATTTGAATTTCACAATTTTACACCTTATAAAAAAGTGAAAATTTTGAAAATCTTAAATTTTGGTCAGATTAAGCTAGATCGATTCGCCTGTTAATGCTGATCAAGAATATATATGCTTTATGGGGTCGGAAATGACTCCTTCAATGTTTTTAAGCTTTTGAGTAAAATTATAGTATTAATTTATGAGTCTTTTTATTGATATTTTAATATTAAAATTTTTTCTACAAATCATGGCTTAAAAAACCCATAACTAAGTCAAAAATGCATTAATTTTAATTCTGAAAGCTGTCCTATGCTAATTTTTGTTAGATTAACAAATCTGCATACTTAAATTAACATATTTTAAAACTAAAATTTTTATCAATTTTTCTAACTTCAAATTCCACAATTTAACACCTTATAAAAAGTGAAAATTTTGAAAAACTTTAATTTTTGTCAGATTTAGCTAGATCGATTCGCCTGTTAATGCTGATCAAGAATATATATGATTTATGGGGTCGGAAATGACTCCTTTAATGTTTTTTTTTAGCTTTTGACTGAAATTTTAAGGGTAAAAGGATTTGTGTAGTATATGTTTTTAATATATTTAATTTAATAATTAATAAATAGTTATTTGCCACATTAAATCACCGATAATTTTTATTTTAAATTTATTCTATTGCTTTATTTTTAAACACTCTTTATAGTGATTTTCAATTTGTAAAGTTTTTCTAATTGCTACATTTTTTGCAATTTTAAAAATGCAAAAATGGTGCTTCTAAAGCCGTATCCCCATAAAGAGATTGTTTGCCAGAGCCCAGGATAATCCCAAAATGATTTCGATTTTGTTCGCAATAAAACCAAAACAGACAACACTATTTTAAAGCGGTGGCTTTTTATGTTTTAGCACCGAAGAGAAAGGGGTTTTTTAGGTTCAGTTTGAACCTTTTTGTTTTTTATTGCCGCTCTTGATGACGAGCGAACTGCGCTCATTTGCGTGCACATTTTCGGGGCACACACACAAAAAATGTGTGTCAACAAAAGTTTTTTTTTATTTGTGGTTTTTCGCAACTAGTGTTGTGTCCGCTTTCACTAAAAATTTTCCAGCTGCCGCCGCCGAGTGTCCTCTGAACGAATCTAATGGCTCTGGAGGGACGTTAAGGATAGAAAACCTGCCTGCAATTAGAGAGAGACTCAGGCTCCGGAGAAAGTTTCGAGAGTACGGTTAATGTGTGTGTGCACAACCCTTTTTGGCAGTTATGACAGCCGGGAAATGGTCGGGGTTCGGCGGGGGGAAAACTAGTTATGCTGCCATAATTAAATGTAAATTATCGCCATATGTACAAAACTGTTGCCATGTTTACTTATTTATTTGTCAGTTAATTAGTTCGGAATGTGTGCTGCTCCTCGTTTCCCCCGAAAAAAAAATCTGGTGACTTTTCCCCTGTTCTGTTGGCATTACAAACCACGTACAAGAAATGTAATTATTTTCATTACATCCACAAGCAAACAAACAACAACAAAAATTGTACACCCAAGCGAAAGACAACAAATGCCAAAAAAAAGAAGCAGAGAAAATACAAAAAACACGGCGTTGGCATTTCCAATACAATGTGAGGTTTGTGCTTTTTGGCTTTTGTTTATTTTTGACATTGACGTCCCCTCATTAATGTAAACGACGTCGACTGGCATAAAAAGGCGACCTTCTGTAATTATAATTAATACGAAAGGAACATGAGCTCTAACACACACACACACACCCACACCCGAAGGACTTCCCGTGTCAATGAGCTGCTTTGACCCGAAACCAATACAAGAAGGAGCCAGGGGGCAAGGATACACTCGAAGAAACATTTTAAAACTACCATACAATACAATACAATTGAAGAATGAACTTGACTTCGACTCAAAAGATTTCTACCATTAAAACATACTCCTGAAATCGACTTAGAATTTGATTTTGATGTTCTAACTTGTATTATTTCCCAGTGCACGTTAAGTAATTCTGGCCAGAGCTTACAAATTGCGTCTTTGGTGGCATTAAAAATTCCATTAGCTGCAAACTGCCCCCGTTAATTAGTGGCGCAAACAACTGATAGAAATTTTGATTTCATCTTGTTAAGAAAGGGGCTGTTATCCTGCCGGATGGGAGTGATGATGATGTTCCTGGAAAAAGAAGGGGTGGCAAGGACTTACCAAAGATGCGTCCTGCCCGGGTAATTGGCAAGGTGACCGAAATCAGGAGCAGCACAAAGCTAGGAATGATGAGCCCTCGATGATTTCCGTATTCCGGCGATATGCGCAGCGTCATTTTGTTGATGTTGCAATTGCAATTTATATTTTGTTTTGGGTATTTTTTGTTTTTTGTTTTCCTCCAATTTTCTCCCTCTCTTTTTAATCTAAAACAATTTTTTTTGCGGTGGTTTGCGTTACGTTTTTGGTGTTGATTTTGTTTTTTGGATTTGGATTTCAACTCTCTCTATGGCAGCCTTGGGCTTAGAAATCAATTTACATTTATATTTTTTTGTATTTTTGTTTATTTCCAATGCCAATTAAACTATGTTTGAGTTGGGAGAGTTGTAGCTTCTCTTGGTTATTTTTCAGTTTAGTTTAGTTTTTTTAGTTGGTATTTGCACTGATTTTTGCTTTAGGTGATCATTTTGAAACGGGGCCTGGAAATACGAGAGAAATAGAAAAATGCAATTTTAATTTTTTTTGTATGTAAATAGGATCATTTTTGATTTGGTTTGGGATTGAATTTAGCTTTCTAGCAGGGTGGGTAGAATTTATTTGTACAATTTATTGTTTTGGAACATGTTATTTTGTGGAAAGTTCAAGTTCAAATAGATAGTTTTTTTTTCATATTCTCAATTGCTGTTATCACCAATTTTTTTAAAAGACATACAATTTAATTTGAAACTTGTTTATAACATAGTTAAGACTTTAGTTTAATTTGTATTAAGTCTTTTATTTCCCTTCTCCCTCGCTTTAATATCACTTCTAGTTTAGTGTCTCTCCTAAAATTTTAATTGTCTTAAAGTAACTAATTTTTAACCCAATTCTCTGCATTTTAAATACATTAAAATTGCAGCTGGTGTGAATTTAATATTTCCTCCTGGAACCATTTTCAATTTCTTTATACAGGGACACAGGGTTTCTTTTTACAGGCTCCTAAAATTCCGCAGGCACTATCCCTTTCGTTTTTAGTTTTTCCTTTCTTTTGCGGCTGCAAAATTAACTAAAGATGTCAGTCCCTCGCAGCGGGGTGGCATAAACTACCCATATGTGTGTGTGTGAGAGAGTGTAGTGTGTGTTGTGTGTGTGTGTAACCAAAGTTTATATGCTGAAAATGAATTTGGCATTTTTACAACAGAGCAGAGTGAATGGCGAACAGCGGCGCTCTCGGAAGTCTGACAGCATAAAATGGAGTGAAATCTCTGCTGGTGGTGTGCAGTCAACTAATGTGGCCAAAAGGGGTCTAGGGGAAGGGAGAGGGGGAGGGAGAGGGGGAGGGAGAGGGGGAGGGAGAGGGAGTGTTGCAAGCTGTAAAAGCGGGCTTATAGTAAAAGTGAAATGCGCCCGCGGCGGGCTGCACATTTAATGCGGCAAACACAGTTACAACATGTGGCAGCAAATGGCGATTGCTTGGCCCCCAAAAAACAACTTGGCTTTTGACTATAAAAACGAGCGAGAGGCTGCCTTAAAGCTGCCACGCCCTCCCCTGGCTCCCTTCGCCCCAACGAGGTGCCCCAAACTTTGGCAGCAGGAGCTGCAACAGCAGCAGGAAAAACACACCAACAAGGACTGACAACAACGGAACCCGCCGCACATTGCACATGACGTAAATGTTGTGGTTGCTTTTAAAAACTTTGTTTTAATGTGTTTGCTGCAGGCTGCACTGAGAGTTTTTCTTTTCTTTTTTTTCCAGTTAACCTCCTTCCCAAAAGGGAGAATCTTCCATTCTCCATGTGTTGACGTTAAAATTTAAAGTTCAAATTTGTAACTTCCATGGAGGAAAGTTGAAATGAAAACACAGTGCAAATCGTTTTTCAAACTTTTGGCACTTGTCGCAACACGAGGAAAGTCTTTAAATCGGAATATGAGATTTCAAATAAATAAGCAAAGGAAATATTTTCATTTCACAACTTAACATAGATCGTAGCATACTTTTGTGCCTTTTTAAAAGAGATTTCATTTGGAATAGCAGTTATTTTTATATTTTCAAGAGCATTTTTAAAAGCACTTATCCTCCATTTATATAATTAATTCCTGGCAACTTGACTGCTGTTAAAATAATTCAAATACTGAAAAAGGAAAACCTCTTCTTGATTAAAAATCATATCTACTCTGACTGATTTTTTCATTAAATACAATTTATTAATTGCGTAATGCACAGAACGGAAAAGGAGTTCCTGGCAACAGCTCCATTTATGGCTTTTCACATTTTCTCATTTCACTTTTTTAAATAATTTTCACAATCGTTTTTAATGCAATATCTTTTTCCCTGGCCTTTTTTTTTGACACAAAATGAAAATCAAAGGATCGCTGTGGCAAAATATTACACTGCTGCTGCCGCTGTTGGTAATTGAAGTTATTTTCCATATTACACACCCCAGGATTTTCAGGTGTGCAAAAACACGTTGACTTTTTCACTGACACCACTCTCCAGTGTGTGTGTGTGTGTGTGTGTTGTGGCTGCACAAAAACTGAGTTTGTGTAAATAAGTTTTTCCTGAGTGCGTTGCCTTTGTTGCTTGTTTGGTTATGGCTCTGGCCAGGAAACAACATTAACGCAAGTTTGTTTGACTTTTCACAAAGAGATATAAATACAAGAGCTTTAAATACATGTTTTAAATTGAAAATTGAGGAGGGAGTTTTAACACAACATATTTTGTAGAACTTATAGCTGAGTAAATTTTATGGAAAGTAAAAGGAATATTTATAGAAACCGTATAGAGGTTGCATTTTTAAAAATATTTCTTAAAATGTGATTGCTATTTAATATTTGAAAATGTTTTTTAAGTATAAGAAATCTCTACGTAATCCTTTTTGATTTTATAGTTTAGATAAACAAGTGTAAAAAGCTCTTTAATGTGTATTGTATTTACTTTCTTATTTTATTGACGTTATGTACCTACCCCTACCCTTGTTCATAGACAAGTTGCTAATAGTTATTATTATTTATTCTAATTCTATGAAATTTACTTGCTTCCCTACTTAATTATTCATTATTTCCCCCATAACATATTCCTCTATTACCAGCAAGTAATATTTAATTCGTTGTGTCATCAAACGAAAAAGTTGAAGAACACGTACAAATATAGGTATTTTGTATAATTGAAGAACTCTCTCTCTATTGATGTTGGGTTAGTGGTTAGCCCGCTAATCACCATTATTACTGCCACCGCAAATTGAGGATTGTGTAATTCTGGGGCCAAGTGGAATCCTAATGAAGACGTGGAAGCCCAAGGAAGCCATTAATAGTGGCGGCTAGACATAACCGACCCCAAAAAATAGGCAACGCCTTGCGCTAAGCACCTTAACGACAATTGTTGTCCCCCCTGTCCAGGAATAGGAGCATTTTCATCTCCGGTGGAGGTTCGTCACTCAGCTCAACAAGTTAGCCCGGAAAATGGGAAAACGGGCAAACGGGAAAACAGAAAACAGAAACAGCTCGTAATGACCAGTGCCCGGGGGCAATTAAAGTTCCTCCGACGGATACTAGTTTCTAGTTTTCTCAATTTTCCACATAACTCTCCCCCCTTTCGGTCTTGGCCATTAGCAGACAGTTCCGAGCCGCTTTCACGCTTGAATGCTCGGGGAAAAGCGGAAAAGCGAGAGCGGGGGAAAGCGTTAAGTAGCTGCGATGTCAGTAGCCGATTTGCAGTTATGACAACGCCAAAACCGAACTCAACTTGTCGCCCTTCGCACTTCCAAGTGCAGCACCATCCCCCAGCAGTAACTACTCCCTTTTGGGGGAAAAACTTTAAATTAAACAGTAGCGAAAAAAGCAGCAGGAGCTGCCAACCGAAAACAACGGGGCGAATGTGAGCTTTCCAGCAGAGAGAAAAAATATCAGAAATTTTAGGAATTTATAGAAATTTTAATAATCAAAAAGTGGTTTAAAAAGGCATTAAAAGAGGGAGTAATCAATTCATAATTTACTGATTTAATCTAATGAGTTGCTTACTAAAATCAATAATTAAAGTAGACATATCTTTGTTGGAAAATATATTCTTTTCATTTTATAGGAAAAATGTTTAAAACTAAAGTGGAAAATGTATTCTTTTTATTATATAGGAATAATGTTGAAGGAGACTAGTCAATGATTTCATTTCTCAATAAATCCTGCAAAAGATACCAAGTGCTTTTCTGTTTCTTTCGAGTACAAAAATTCAACATTATTGTCAAGAATTCTCTATTTCCTAATTCAAATAAAATTTGTAATTATTTCTGCAACGTTTTAAAGAAGAAATCTCAAAGTTACATGTGCTAATAAATTGATTAATAAACATGATTTACCCTGCCTCTAGGAATACTTTTCCTTTTGCCTAAGAATTCAAATAAAAAATCACACTTTTTCTTTATATTTTCCTAGGGGAAAATGTAATGATTTATAGTGAAACCACTGCATTTTTTTCTGTGTGCATCGCAGCGCGGCAGTGAAGAGCGAAAAAATATGGCACTGCATTTGGCATGAGGCAGGGAAACAAGCAGCCCGGGAATTGTCGGAGTAGAATCATACAAAATATGCAAAGGACAGCAGCAACATTGGGAGCAGCTCCAGCAGCAAAAGCAACACAAGTTGTAATTTACAGCTTATTTACGTTGGAATAAAAAATGAATTAAGACAACGAACCGGCAGCCTGACAGCGTAGGAGAGCAGCTTCCTTCTCCCTTCCCCCCCGGCAACTCGCAAAAGGTAAATGCATAAATAAATCAGGCAAAGTCCAAACAGAAAAAGGGAAAAATATGAGGAAAATGCTAGGGAAAGGGAACAAACTTGGAGCAAGTAAATGTAGGAATATAATTAAATGCTTTGACATGAAAGAAAAGTAGTCAACTAAATGGGAAACTGAATGCCGCTGCTGCCAACTCGGTTAATTAGCACAGACAGCCAAGAGGTGTTGCAATGTCCTTGCAAAAGGATAAAGAAATTGATTGAACTTGTTTAAAATTTAAAGTTAGGGAAGTACAAGAGAAGAGCGTGTTTTCTTTATTTTTATTTTATGTATTAAAAAGGGAAAGTTCTTCGTACTTTTAAATTTATTTGTAGATGAAAACTTCCTTTTAATCACGGCAGTAATATTTA